ACCAGTGGTTGGAGACTGACTCTAGGTGATCACAAGGTTGAGAACCGATGTCAGTGGGGCGAATGAATACACACATTATCTATCCTCATCTTAACGACGCTATATCGAATCTCACCATTTTCTCATTCTTCCTTTCTCTCTTTTCATACTTTGTATTTCTTTTGACTGAATTTTCTTTTGTTCATCTTGTACTTGACTGTCTTTTTACTTGACGTGGTGATATGAGGTGTGGCAATTTGGACGGTTACGCAGTAATTCCTGATTGTTTGTTGACTTGGATTGATTTAGATTGGATTGGGTCATTATACAACGATTGAAACGATCAAATATTAATCACGCGTTATATTCATTGAATTATGAGACCTTACTACTGTGTAACCACTAGCTGTTGGGAGGTTACTTTATGTAGCCTGCAGTCACCTTGTTGCAAGTGGCTCGAAGAGAAGCATGCATAAAATTAACGACGGTAATCCACTTAACCTACATAAGAATCGGCAAGAGAAAAACATAAACCAGTGAGTGACTCAGTAAACACAAATAATACACATTTAATGACAAGCGTCTAATAATGCGCAACTAGATAATGAATCAATCTAGAAATTGGAACTAGGTGAATGAGTAAGATTTCAAATGTGTTACGGTTGGCTAGGTGATTCAAGTCGAAAAAAGGTTAACCTGACATCTTAGTGGTTCAGCCATACTTTTTGTGTGATGGTTTACAATACTATCTCATTACCCAGGTTAAAGTGAGTGTAGCAAGATTTGATACCGAGACCATAGTGGCTTAAAAGTCGTGTGTTTAATTCATTGAAGCAGTTATCCAAGCCTGATACTGGAAAAATATTTCACAACAAGTGAATCAAGATAGACATGGAGAAAGTTCAATCTGTATGAAAACACTAGTGTTAAATAATTTAACTGGATACTTTATCCTTCACAGAAATCTGTTACTCGATAACCGATTGTCAAAACTTTCTTAAACTTGTTTTGTGCCAAACTATTGGTCATCGGCTTAACCTTACACTTGTCAAACACTGAGTTACTCTTTCGAACCGAAGTACATTTACTTCAGAATGGTCTATCGCAAAGTACCGTAAACCGTCACTCAACGAATATGACTCAAATGGTTGTTGATTTGTATAATTAACGTAATTAAGTTAAACGTTTCATAGGCTTGCAAACGTTCGCAATCACGTCTCAACTATTTGTGTCATTCTCATCTTGAACTGTGTAGTCTGCTGTCATCTGATTTTATCCTCTATATGATCAATCCACTCAAGCACATGGTCGGAATTTGAGTGGTTATAACAACTTGACCCTCTTATCACAATCAACCTAGACATATCACTGATCATTCTCGGCACCTTGAGGAGTGGTGACTATGGGTTGACTTTCAACCAATGAGCCATGTGTTCGAAACCAGCTCCACCTATCGAGGTTTGGGAAGGTAGGTGGTATCATTACCCCTCATACATTAGGTGTTGCTCATTACCTACTGCTCAAGGTTGCTGGATGTATATTGATTTTGACACCAAGCTTGTTAAACAGTCATTCAGTGTATAGATTTTTGTCCTTCTGTTGGCTGAAGTGGTTTACGACTATTCATACAACTCAGCAGTACATATCATTCACCTTTCATGCTCATAATCTTGACTTAACTTATGACACTAACATATTATGGTCTGAACATTGCGATTTCCAAAAGAAACCACGGTGAAACTTTGTAATTGTTATGTATCATGCGTTTGTGTTACTCTAACATTAGAATTGCTTAATAACTTATTTTTTATTGTGTTCGCAATCATATTTCAATCAGTATGACATTATGTAGATGAAAGAGGAATCCATCTCTAGCATATTTTCATCATTCACGTGATTCTTGTCGAGTGTAATTGTGAAAATTTTCATCATCAAAACATCTAAATAGGAAACTTGATGTGTTATTTAGAAAATAACTAAAATTTTTACTAAGCTGAATGTAATTTGTTCATCGTGAAGTTTATAAATTCTGCTGTTGGTTCAGAATACTAAAGAACCATGAACGCATTATTCTGATTGAACTCAGTGTGGTACAAAAGAATCATCTTTCATTGGTTATTTAAATGTTATCAACTTCAGAGATAAATTTTAGTGCATTTTGATGGTTGACTTGATTACAATTGGTCTCGAGTGGGTGATTGAAGGTGAAATGAAAACGTAGGTCGCAGAACAATTCAAACCAGTAGCCTCAGTACTCTATCACGTAAACTACGTAACCTATACGAGTGCATGATACGTAATTATCGTCTGATCCTAATCATATGAGCTGCCTAATCAGATCTTCTCGTCCCTATACAGATCGAACTGAGTTAGACGGGGAAAGTGTTGTGAGGATTACTGACGAGATCATGTAAGTTAGCCGTGGCTTTTCAAACGAGCATGATTGATTCGAGTTGGTGATCAGTTGATCGATTACCGGATCAGTGATCCGAAGATTATTAGATCGAATGTACCAGAGATGAAAGTTAGCATTTTATGATTATTATCACCATGTGTTCACAACACCACTCTGATGAGCCAAAGATGTTTCAAATAATCTCAAAAATAATTAATGACAATTAAATTTGAGGGTTTATGGGGATTTAGAGATTTTTCAAGTTGGTATTCGTCATGAAATGACATCAGTTGGAAGAACATTGGAGACTTGGTAGCAGTGGATAGCTGTTTCGTGCTAGTGTGGTACTCCTCAGCAGTGCACACTCACGACCCCGCCAGGCATCGAATCCGCCACCTTCAGGTTCTGCTGCCAGCCACTGGATCGGAATCCAATGGTCCATATTTCCAACTTCTATCAGTTCATAATACAGTGCGACCGCCACCCAATGTCATCGTTGAGTATTTGTCCTTATGGCCACCAGGTTTCCCCCACTTGTCACGACTTCTCACTGGAACTTCGGGAACCTCTCGAAGCTAGTCACCAGTGAGCACTAGTTGAATTGAATTTTGGGTTTTGTGGAGATTCAGAGATTTTTCAAGTTGGTATTCATTGTGGACTGACATCAGATTCCACTGAATCATACTTTTTGAGGTCCAGCATACTCCTGCCAAAATGAATGAGGACACACACAGACACGCACAAACAAACTTTAAACTAATTTTCCTGCATGAACTGTAGTCTACTAACTCGTCCTCACTCCCGGTCAATTGATTTATTACTGTGATTGTTATTCCAATTGGTTAACTTCCTACCAATCTGAAAGTAGATAGTTTTTCTGATGGCTATTTTTAGTCATCAAAAAGAAATATACCATCAGTAGTTGTTTTGTTGCTAATTGTCGACTATTTTCTCAATGCCATAAACTTCACAGTCTCAGTTCCGCCATCTTCTATGGATCATAGTACTTTAGGTGCGGTATCCAATGGATCAGATGCTTTTTCGTTATACTCTGAGGTATTCATAGTTGTTTGGTAACAATTTCTTTCATTTGTAAAGCTCTCAGTTTTGAAAGAAACCTAAAATCTTCAGTCTTTTGGTTGATTCAAACACTAAATGATATACTTCACTGTCACGAGGTAATTGAATAACTTGAAAAAGAAAGAATATTATTCACCAGAATTGGCTCGTTTAGTTGGAGAACTGAAGTATTTATACCTTAAGTGTGGTGTTCATCTCTTCAGTCTCAGGAGGGTACGATTTCCAAACAATATATTCTAATAGAGTGGTAGTTCATTAGGTGTAGTAGTGGCTCGATTCCCAAGCCATGTGCTTCTCGTTCGAACTCCCTCCCATCTATAATTTGTTCGGTTTCGATAACCGGGTTGTATCATCAGTCATCACACAACTAGTGAAGCTTATAGCCTAGTACCGGACTGAGTTCTCTTTAATTATCATCTTTTTTAAACCAGTTAAAGGTATCTTAAACTCCTTTTACTATTTTTTGTAAATAGACTTTCAGCATAAAATTATGATGGAAATCACCTTAAAATTAGTCAAATATTTTTAAATCTTTAAACGTGAAATTTTATTGTTAGCTGTTAGGAATCAATCTGCAAGAAGCACTCGATCTAGGTTTCGTGCTAGTTAGCGCTGTTCAAGAAGGTATGAGAAAACTGGTATTCCCTTGGTGATTTGAAGTCGCACTACCTAAGGCTGAAGTTAGGGACTTTACCATTAATTTCAGATTGGTATTGATCATGGAATGGAATCAGTTGAAGGAACATTGGAAACGTGGGAGTACTGGGCAGCTGTTTCGTTCTAGCATGGGACTCCTCAGCAATACGCATCTGTGACCTCTCGAGAGTTGAACCTAGGACCTTCAGATTCCCCGGCTGTCGCGTTACCATTGAGTTACCGGGTTGAACTCCAATGGTTCACACTTCCTACTTCTGTCAGTTGACGATATATCGCAACCGCTATCAGATGCCGCCGTCGAGTAACTTTTCTCACTTCCTTCTTAGTTGGCCCTACCAGTCATCATTTCTCATTAGAACTTCGGGAACCTCATCTCGAAGCAAGTTACCAATGAGAACTAGATTAATTCAATTTGGAGGCTATTATGGATTTATTGATTTAAGGTTGGTGTTCCTCGTGGACTGATATCAGTTGGAGCACTGGACGTTAGATAAGTTACTCAACGACGACATTGGATGGAGGCCATTTTTTTAAATCTTGAACTGACAAAAATAGAAAATGTGGACGATCGGTTTCCGTCCCAGTGACCCAATGCTAACATGCTGGCCACGAAACCTGAATGTCCTAGATTCGATCCCTGGTTCGGTCATGGCTGCTCATTGCTCCCAAGTCTCCAATGTCTCTTCAACTGATTTCATCCTCTGATGAATACTAATCTGAAATGAATAAAAAAATCCCCACAAACCCCCAAATTAGACTTTACCATTAGTCTATTTAGGCTTAGGATGGAGCGGATGTTTTGTATGAACCTGCTTTTCTATAGTTCTAAACTCTCTGATAGTAGATTTACACAAGTTTTCTTTATATCATGTCTTTTTTACATATTCAGGTTGCTGGTGAAGTAGAGCTCAATGAAGATGGTTTGCGTAACTCACACACTATTGTATCGTCTTCGTCTACTCCCCCTCCTGTTCTCTCCGTCACAGATCAAACTACACTTTCTGTGAATGTACAAACACTAGATATGATTAATGAAGATAACAGATCAAGAAGTAGACAGAATATAACTGAAACTGTATTAACACACAATAATAGTAATAGTTCATTGTCATCTCCACTATCACCATCTATTCCAGAAGGAAACGAATCTAGTCATCATCGATTACAAAAAGTTGAGGATAATGTCGAGAAGGATGGATCTGATTCAATTGGTTCAATACCTCATATAATAAGTTGTCCAGGTCCCGTTCCCGGATCACGTCGTTTGCACTTGTCACATACTGGTCGTTTAGTTCAGCACAGAGCTAGTGTGCCTACAGCTAGTGGTGGTGTCACTATTACTACCACTGTGGATAACAATGATATTGACAGTAATCCTGTTTCTCTTACAGTTTCGACGATGAATATCATGAAGTCATCAGAACCGACAGAGACTACTTCTACTACTACTACTACACTACATTCACTAATTAATCCATGTAATACAGATAATAACAACAGTGTTGTACGAAACTATTCACCTCATTCGCATACATATCATCAACATCATCCAGAACCATGTTGTATAGCTGCACGTAATGAAGTAGAACGTCTACGCAAAGAGAATGCTGAGTTAAAAACTCAATTGTTTGATCTACAAAGTAGTAAAGATATTGTAGAACAACGTTTGGAGGATTTGGAGGGACGTATGATTCAATTAGATTCCGTTGTTCAATCATTAAAAGAAGAAAAGGTGAGTATTAGCTTTCATTTTCCAGTTGTGTATAACGTCGAAAATGGTAATAATTGTAGTAATATCAAGAGATGTAGTGCTGTAAGGCGAAGAAAAGTAGTTATATTTTCTTGATTTGAATGGACTTGTGACTTGAATGAAAAAACCTTCAATACGACCTGTTTGGTTAGAGATGTGGCTCAGTGATTTACGAAGATAACTAACAACAGTGGGTTATGGGTTCGAACCCCGCCCCACCTATCGAGGTTTGGGGCAGCCACGTAGTATCACTAGCCTTCACACAACAGGTGTGACTCGTTGCCCGCTGCGTAAATGTGCACGAGGTGGAGGAGTGCGTTCCGATCTTCGTCGACCTGCTTGATTCATCTCACGTATGTAATTCAGAAAGTCTATAACCCATGACAACTCATCATACCGAATTTCAGCGACTCTATGTCTTAGTCTGACCATTGAAGATGGAAGACATGAGAAGACTGGCTTCAGGTGTTTGACCACCATCGCATTCGTAGTATAGACCGTATTCTGTGGTGTCACCACGTGAGTAGTAACACAGAAGTCAGGTGTAGAGTTTTAGGGAGAAGAGGTAAGTCAGTTGATGAGGTTGTGAACCTTCATCGACTGAGATAGTTGGCTGGGACATGTGTTACGTATGCCTGGTTGCCGTCTGCCTCGTCACACAATGTTGGTGGAAGTAGGTTCAGGCTGTAAAAAGGTGATGGAGGCGGCCAGACTAAAACATTGCACCAATGTATGAAGTGTTTGACTGTTAGTTTGAGTCATGTGGGGGAGGGGGGTATGCAGACTAGGTGGTTGGGGTCTTTTGTATAAGAGTAACCAGTGGTTGGAGACTGACTCTAGGTGATCACAAGGTTGAGAACCGATGTCAGTGGGGCGAATGAATACACACATTATCTATCCTCATCTTAACGACGCTATATCGAATCTCACCATTTTCTCATTCTTCCTTTCTCTCTTTTCATACTTTGTATTTCTTTTGACTGAATTTTCTTTTGTTCATCTTGTACTTGACTGTCTTTTTACTTGATGTGGTGATATGAGGTGTGGCAACTTGGACAGTTACGTAGTAATGACTTGTCCTTTGTTGTTTTGGATGGATGGACAGATATGTGTTAGTCCCAACTTTAGTTTACTTTGTAAACAGGCAAGTCAACTTAAAACATTACACAGAATGGCATGAGTTCAAGTTTTCAAGCTACTTAACAGTTTGTAAGGAAGACGTTAAAAAATAAAAATCATATCAAAGCAGACCTGAGAGGAGAGGGAGTAAATAAATGAAACAGTGAGAGGCTTTTGAGGTTTTCGCGATTACAACGAGTGCATACATTTGTACAGTTGTCTCCAATCTTTAGTCATTTCACATTCAGTCTCTAACCGTTGATTTCTCTCATCTTGAGGATCCCAAACAAGCAACCCGCACATCCGAAAGCAGGTCATATCGGTTGTTAGGAACTTCATGGGTTATTGCTTTATTGTATTGTAGCCGCCTTCAGTCACTTACAAGTCTGTCATTACTTCAACTTGTTGCGGTTGATGGTAAACCAGCATATGTGACATATATATATATATATATATATATATATATATATATATATATATATATATATTGCATCTCAGTGTAAGTTCCCAACCCCTATTATCTTATACTTTAACACACTACATCAACACTACTCAAATGGTGGCTCCACTAAAAGACAAATACCTATTTTCGAAAATTCCTCAATTACTTATATCATCCACTTTCAACAGCCATATCTCGTAGCTCTGTGTGTGACTAATATTCTAGTGTATACATCTGTACGTAATTGCTGAGTTGTATTTCGTTCATTTCATTCATGCATTCACTCCACTGGATGTTATACTTTAACCTAAAATGTAGTTTTTATTCAATGTAGATTTCGATTTATGACAATCAGTCAGTTTATTTCCTTTAGGAAATGTATCTCATCTTATACCCCAGGAAAATAGAATGCTTCTACTGCTACATTTGTAGACACTTTTGTTTATCCATATATTCAGATCTTATTTTGCTCTGGATTACGTATCCTTAGTAGTTGTCACATTAACCACTGTTATACCTTTATCCTTTGTGCCTGTTATCATCTGTAAACCAGCAAACGTTATCTACTCAACGCATTGTGATTTGTTACATCGATCATTGTTAAGTGAACATATGATATATATATATATATATATATATATATATATATATATATATATATATATATATCCCAGGTGTTTCGTGCCTTTATAATATCAACAAGATTATTTGATCTTTCTTATCTGTGATAGTGTGTTGTCGAATTGTGACAAACAATATCTCTCCTGACTAATTGTGGAGCTGTGGCACATTGGCCTAGACACTCAATTTCCAACCAGTAGGTCAGAAGTTCAAACCCCACTCCACCTACCGAGGTTTCAGCAGTCGGTTGGTATTAGTAGTCATTGCACAATATATTTGTCTCATTGCCTAATGGACGAGTGTGCGCAAGGTTATTAAGTGGATTTCTTTTTTTTTTCTTTCAACGAATCAAACACAAGTGTATGTCAACTGAGCCTACCTACTAGGATACCGGGAGTTTCGGTATCCAGCACTAGTACTAGTAACGCTAGCTGTACAGTTATGGGAATTCACTAGAAAGATCCTTTGCCGTTCCAAAATATTTGCCAGATAGAACTATGTTATCTATATACTGCTTATAGACTTTTCTACCTCTAGACTGGCAACAAAAAGATTCCCCATCATCAGACTACTAATGACAAAGCTGCATAGAGATAGTCTCAGTGTTAAATCCCTGTCAGACATTAGTGATTGTTACTACCGTATATTACAACTCTACACGAGTCTTTTAACGTTTGTGTGAATTCAACTCGATAATCTTTGGTAGCATGACGTTCTCGATGGATACCAGTTTCACAGCTAGACAGTATCATCAAACCTCTCGACCTAAAATGTTAAGAATGTCATCTGTGAGCAAAGATAGGAAGTGGTTCATTGGGGTATATTGATACAGTATTTCAAGGTTTAGCAGAGAGTTAACCAGTGCACCATTTAATTATCGTTCCAGAGAGTTTATCAGAAACAGACAGACTGGTGCCACATCTTGGTCTGACCACCCTGAACCTTTTCCCAACCTAATTCAGCTTCTCCTAGTATGACACGTCATGGTAAGCGTTGGATTGACATGTGCAACTTCAGTCGATGAACGTTCACAGCCTCATCAATCAAGCTACCTGACCTCGATATTGCTCACACTGTGATTCCACCAAACGCAAGCAATTCCAAGAAGATACCTGTATTCAAAACCCTGTGACCGCTTTTTTTTATTCTATTTTCAACGACCATGTCTCATAACCGTATACCAGGAGATAACATACTGCGGCGCAGTATACTCATCCCCAGATAGGTAGTCGGGTATCTCGCCAGTCGGCACCATGAGTGACACAAGTTGGCAAACGTTAAACGGGCCTTTTGTATCTAAGCTGAGACTTCGTCAACAACCAGCCCGTTCGGGTTAAAGAGAATTTATCAGCTAAGCCCTAAGGACTGGAAAACTATTACGGTTACCCTTTAGTAACCAATTCGTGTAAATACTCCAGTCTTACACAGTTCAGTCATGGCCTAATAATTTAGCAGTTAAGACTCCGACGTAGCTGTTGTATGAAAGCAGAGCTTGATACCATCGTAAAGTGACTGGAAAGAGGATTCATTAGTGTTGTATTGTTCTAGATAGAGTCCAAATGGAATCTACCTGAAGTTGGTTGCACAATGTTTTTAGAAGAGTAGTATTTTTGAAGTGTCCTTCGTTCTTTAAAGTTTCTTACTATCAGCAACGAATAGCCATTGCATTGAGCAAGAAGAAATATATGACTAATATGACTGACCTTTCCTAACTCTACTTCTTCAGGTTGGTCTGCAGTGTAGCTGGGAGTACTAGTCAACCGAGAGAAACATCTTACTCCAGTTATTTCTCTATCCAGCTAACATTGTCTATACTCTCAGATTCTAGTTAAGGAGTGGATTTTTTATTGCATCACAGTGATCTCTTGTACTCTCACTAGCCGCCAATCAACTTTACTGAACTAGTATTCTGTCAAACATCCTTTATAGCTCAATAGTGATAAGCGGATGTAATTATCATATCAATGTAGCAGTTTTCTCCTCGAATTACTACATGTATGACTTTAAAGCTTATTCACTGTAAAGAAAAGTATATTACGATGATAAGGTAAATTTGATCCATAAATCTGTCTGTCAAAATGTTTTATAAAATTGTACAAGAATAGCAATTCACTCATACCCTGATGAATTATTTAGGGGAAAAAATAGGATTTTCTCTCAACATGTATGTTTCTATGTTTTTCATAATCTATACACAGAACTAGACATCTTTTTTCAAACTAATACTTGTTAAGATAAATTTTTATGGCAAACTTTCTAAAGTTGATAAAATTCACACGTATAAAGGAATCGTTTTAGACTATTTCACTGTAATCGATTCTTTTTTAGACTACTAGGCTTTTTCCTATAAAATTGGAAAAAAACAACACTTTTATTAAGTTGTACTAATAGTGACTTACAGCGGAATTCGGGACGCGTGTTCCATCCTATTTGAGACTCATCAACCGATTGTACTTGCACCTCAGTGACTGGTGTTGTTCCCTCTAAGATTCGAAACCAGTACTCATCGCTTCAGATGCTAAAGCGTTCGTTGTCCACTAGGCCACTGGGGAACGGAAGCCACCTCATGTGAAACGGGTATCACTTGTTGTTTGATATTTGTATTTCCCCGTTGCTATACCGGTTCGGATTGCTCCACCTTGAAGTACCAAACACCTCTGTTGTTTAGCCATTAATGTCTACCTTTTTTGCATCGAGTTGAGGTGATTAAGTATTACTGAACCAAATTTGATTGGTCAGTTGCTATGGGATCATATTGGATGCAGAAAATTTTGCTGTCAGCTGACTATCATTGTCCGTA